GGCTGTGAGATAGATACTTGGAAAGCGAGACGCACTCGTTTTCAGCCTGGATACTTCTCAGCTTCTGGTTGGCGATACCCAGATCACGTTCGTATTCCTGGTGAAGCTGAGATTAAAGAATTAGTCTCGAGTTTTTTTGCGGTTGGACTACTTCCTGTACCCCTCCATTACATGGTCCTAATAGTACGTAGAATGAAAGCGCAAATGTACGTACAGCATTCACTTGGTCATATTTTTCTCGGAGCATCTGAAATCTATCCACACGTGCCAGAGGTTAGAGTCTGGAATTTATGTCGAATATGGAGGTAACGTACTTTTCCTTATATCGTGTCCCTCTGTGGGAAGGCGTTGTCTGTAGGCAATATCGGTAGCAAGAGGTTAAGTTCGCTGAGGGGTGCATTTGGGCTGTAGTTTAAACTTACCTTTGGTTGTCTATTTCCTGGTGTCTCATCCCCACCGCCAGCGTTCCCTTTGGCTCTTGAATTCGAGGCCATTTTCAGATTCCACAATGTGGACGATGATCTTCAAGTGGCCCGTTGTATGTGTTTGCAGATGAGCTTCTACTCGGACGTGTTCAAAGACCAACTAGGATCTTTCGGGATTATCCTTTTTGATCAACGGTGAGCGCTTATTCAATTATGGCATCTAGGCGCTTATCGAGCGCTTACAGTCGTGACGCAACTGCAGATATTTGAAAGAAGAAAAAAAAAACTTGTAAGCCTATCTCAGCAATCCTTTTGGTATCTCCCATGGAGGTCAGTTGCCAGATAACGGCACACAAATATGTGTCATACTATTGTTAGACACCAGATGCAACCGGTAAAAGATATTCACTTGGGCCTCCAGAGGCTCAACAATCGCTGTACAGGTAGCTAGAAAATTGTCAGATGTAGAATAGAGTATAGAGAATATAACTGTGAAAGAATTTGATGAAGAGCTTACCTTTTGCAACAACGATAGACCTGACACTAAGCTCTTAATCTCCAAAAGTGTGAATTTTGAGGGAAAGATGCCCAGATTTGACCAGATCTCGTGCTGGAAATATTGCGGTTTTGTCCTGAGAAGCGTCAATAGGTAAGCGCCTACAATGCCAGGTACCTACCAAGCTAATTGGGGCCCCGAGGTGTCTGGAGAAATGAGAACAATGATGAAGTTGTGACTAGGTGACCGAAACAAGCAATCACACACCAAGATAATGAATCAAGGCCCGCCAGCTCCGCTTCAGCACAAACCTCACGCTTGTTGATGGATGAAGATCACACTGGTAAGCACAAAGAGCTCATTAATATTGACAGTTTTACTCCCCTAACCCCCTTAACATCTTCAACTTATGTCTCCCATACAAACCAGAAGGCACCATTGCCACACTTTAAAGTCCCAGCCCCCCAAGCCCCCATCAGCGACATAGTGGACCTCAAAAAGAAAATACAGGCAGCATGTGCGGCTACCAGCACCGGTGCAGCCAGGAACCTCAAGGCAGTGTGTTGTGATCTGGGAATCATCAAGCACCATTACACTGCACTCAGGACGTATAAGGGAAAGGCTGTACTCCCTGGCTTTATTTTTACAGGGACGGTCATTGGTGCGGAGTTGTATGAAGTTCACCCTGAAATTTTGTACATTTCCATTTTTTTATTGTATCTGTCTACTAATATTTTACAGTTTAACTACGTCAATTAACAGATAGACTAACAACTTTTTATGCACAGAGTAGTTTAGAAAATCATTCATTTCTCAATCTCATGCTCAAAACAAGTCTGGCAAGCCTACTCTTCTCGTCTACAATGGTCACAGATCGCACCTGATGACTACCATGATTGATCTTGCTATCAAGAACCAAATCCATCTTCTCTGCCTCCCTCCGCACACCACTCACCGCTTACAGCCTCTTGATGTTGGCATTTTTGGCCCAATGCAGAAGGCCTGGTATTGGCATGCAGAGCTGTACACAGCCAAATATGGGACATCCATCGCTCAGCAACATGTTGTGAAAGAGTACTGGGAGGATTATAAGAGTGCTTTCATCACTAACACAGTTTTGCAGGCCTGGTGCAAATGTGGCATCTACCTCTTCAATCTGAATGCCTTCACAGCCACCAACTATGCGCCAAGCGTCTCAATGTTGGCTGTCAACCATGCCCCTACTTTGTACCCGGACAATTGATGGTTGGGTTGATAACCCATCCTCAGATGACCCCAATTATTTTTCTGATGATGACAAAGCAATATTATGCAAGCCAACTATTGTTGGCCGCATTGACCATTCTGAGGATGACTCAGACAGTGTCATGCACCAAAGTTGATTGGTAGCATGGACAGGTGTCAATAACGAAGCGAATATTCAAAAAGACTCGCCTTTGCGCCACACAGGCACAGTGCCACGTGGAATAGTAATTAATATTGCCCTTTTTGAACTTGTGGCTGATCAGCATCACCTCTATTAGGCAATCCAGTCATGCTCACCTTTGCTTTTCCATTCGGTACTTTCGGCATTTCGGCATTTCAGCAAATTTTCGCGTCGCCACTGGCTACACATTGCATTGCGCCCTCGCTTTTGTCGTTTCCCTTACTCCCCTTCCTTTGCCTAGCCCCACCATGGGCCCCTTCCTCTCCTTTTTATTCTCACCTGACGGTCGTTTCTGGATCCCCATTCTAATCCACTTTTTCGTCACCTCCACCCTCCTCCTCCTCATCTTATTTGCACCCCCACCATTTCTGATGTCACCACTTCCTATCCGCTTCCGTCGCCGATCCGTTGACTACCACATGCCACTGCTAATATCAGCAAAGCCCCGGCGGCCGGTTCAAATAGGGCAACAGGTCCATCTTTATGATGTCGATCTACCATCATATACTATCAAAACATTGGTCGCTCGTCTTGCCTGGTTGGAGCGTGGGTGGGTAGTTTTTGAGCTGGAGAAGGTTCATCCCCTTGCGTCGCCCATGTTCATCGCTGTCCCATTCACTTGGGTACACTTATCTTTTGTCCATCATCTTCGCTACAGCTACACCTATCACACGCTGCCTGGGACTCACTTGTTCCAAATTGGAACTACTCCTCTCCCTCCCTCGTTTGATCAGGTGGTCCAACACAACCAGTCCATTGGTAAGGCCATGGAACTGTCGGATTTGGACTAGGTGGTGGATTGGTGGCTCCAGTTTCTTTTTCTTCAGCAGAACATTCATTTATAGTGCGATTATTTTTGATTTTTGAATCATTTTTATGGACACATATTTTTTAGAATGCCTGACTGACAATAAAGGAACTGTGTTGATACTGATAGTGTTTTGCCTTGCCTTTTTTTTACTGCATCTTCCCATGACATCATGATTTTCCTGCTCTCTTTTTGCTATTGGACTTTACTTTATGGCTATACAAACCTGTGACATTACTCACAGCATTCATTGTTCTATCCCTTTCTTTTCCTTTTTTTGACAATCTTATCCTGTACTACCTACGCAGGATTTGTCAGCGTACATTCCTTCCTTCATATTCTTTCTCATTCTTTTTGCACAGCTATACTGTGCATAGCCTACTTTTCTTTTACTATATAAACCCCTGTATTTTACCTTGTAAAAAAAGAACAAGAACTCCAATCCAGACTTCTTCTCTAATTTCAAGTTCACTACTCTGCTGCTTGTGATCCAGTGTGGTCACAACACTTCCCACTGCTACCACTGTCAACTGCTGTCATCGTCACTTCCCATTTTTGAAGTCATTGTCATCCCTTTCGATTAGAGTCCTTCTGAGCACTACAGTTTGTGCGTCAGGAGCCTGCTATCACTGGGAACCTCATCACCTTGTCATCCTCGTCGTTCTCAAACCTACCTTGTGCTACAATTAGCAAGGTAGTGCTCATCTATACTCGTCACTAAGCACCTATCTTCTATAAACTCAACTATCCCTCCTCCTCAAAACCCACACTCATACACCTCTGGGTTTTACTTTGAAGGATCCTCATACATACCACCCCACAAACAACCAGAGCACCCACTGTTCTAGGAGGCAAAGCCCATAAACAAGTTCCGTGGAATCTGGGAGGATTGTGTGTTAGTTTGTTTTTGTGTGTGGTTTCCTAACAGCAGTTCTTATCATCGACAACGGTGCTAGCTCTGAGGGAACAGCAACAGCAACAACAGCATTGTCCAGCCATCTAGAGACCTAAGGGCCTGGCTTCAAGTAAGCCAGGGCACCCTACCCCTAGAGGACACAAGGTCCAGCCCGTGGCTCTGCTACTGGTGCAATGTTTTGCTATATGATAAATAATAATAATAATACTGTCTGATCAAAATGTTAAGTCAGTGAACTTATGCTGTCTGTAATGTTTGTTAAGTCTTGAACCCTATGATGCATGTTTGACTTGCTGTTCTGTCATTGAATGTCCTTATAAGCCTTCCTTAAACTTGTGCACAGTATACTGAATTCAAGCAGATGATTCATTGAATCTTTACAAACATCAACATATATTGTAACATAAAAAGTCTGTGGTATTACATTGATAAATGGTTGAGAAATAATAAAAAAGACTGCAGAAACGGTAAAGGATGATAATATGGTCTGATATCAAAACATTTTAATAAAAAGGGTGAGAATTGTGGAAAAATCTACTTGCCAGACATGGATAAAGCCAGTCAGAATTTTGGGATATACCACATTGACGGTACATCTGTCATTTGAACCATGTGAAAATAACACTTTTATTCTCTCTCTTGAAGTGCAGCAAGGCAATGCAATGTAAAGTTGCCCATGTGAAAATACTGGAACACATAAATCCAGCCCGACCTGTGTCACTGATTGGCCTTGAGACTGGTTGATGGTCATGGCAAAGGCAACATGGGCAGGGAATTGACAATGTGATAGCTTGATGGGCAATTCTTCTGATGAAGGCTCCAATGTCAGGTATGGAATAAAAGCTATCTTTTCTGCATGTTTTCCTCCCAAAACATGGCATTTCAATACTCTTCCCTTTATCTCTATCAAAATTATGTGTGTTCCATTACAGAGTCCATTTAAGGGATCAATATTGCAGAGGAGCATAAGCAGACATTCAGCTTTAAGTTTAAGGTGCGCTTCAGGAAGGCCAGACTTGCAAGGAGTTCAAGAATTCCATAGGATAATGTTTATGCCCCTCTCCAACCACTTTATCAATTGACAGAGCTACTAACTCCTCTTCAGGGAACCTTGTGAGGATTGCTGAATTAAGGTCGCTAATAGCATTATTTTTTGTGGAGAGGATGGTGCAGTGGAGGAAATAACGGTCATCTTGGTCTCTATTTGCGATTCTAGGATAGGTAGTGTTGACTAATGAGTCTATGGTGTTTTCTGTCATAAGCATGTTGGCTGGAAGCTTGATAGTTCCATCTCCTGCAATTTCACAACCACCACCAACATCCAGGAGCCAGCTAGCAAAGGCTTCACTTTCTGGAGTCTTATCTAGGCATATATTCTGTGTGAAATAGCAAACATTGGTATTTGTCCACAGTTGTGACCTTCTAGAAGAGGCAGAAATAATATGTTACCTTGACCCTCTTGGAACAACAGGTGTTGTTTGGCAGAAGTCCCCTCCAAAGACCATTGTAATGCCTCCAAATGAAAGCTGATTATCCAAAATGTCCCGCAATGTACAATCCAATGCTTCAATTCCATGATGGTGTTGCATCAATGCTTCATCCCAGACAATAACTCTGGTATGTCTCAATACCTCATGGAGGTCAGAGTTTTTTGGAATCCATGTGGATGCTTCATTCACAGGAATAGGGATTCCAAGGCACAAATGAGCTGTGTGGTCACCTTTTGTCATAGGATTAGGAATGAAGACAAAAGAGAAAGAAAGGACATGTATGCCATTAACGCAGAGGCCCTCCAAGAGCAGGGTTACAATCCCAGAGGATGCTACACATAGAGCAACATTATAATTATCCCTTGCTCAAACAACAGCAGTAGTTTTATTACAGAGATATGTTTTTCCCCTACCAGTACCTCCAACTGTGACAACACCAACAAGACACAGTCTTGGGGCACTGGAGCACAATAAAAACAACACTCAAAAGAAAAGGAAGAGGTGGGAGTGGTTACCCATTAGGATTCAACAAGTTAGTTGTTGGTAGACAACAGGAGGACTTGCTGAGTCCTTCCCCATGTATTGTTCCAATAGACATACCAGCACCTACTTACGCTTCACTTTTGTACTTCTACTTTTATTTTCCAAGTCACATGACCAGTCATGTGACCATTTACCTTACTTTTCATTTTCGGACCTTTCCTTTGATTTTCATTCTCCGCTTTAACCTTGTACTATAGTTTTCACACTGTGCCATGTGGCACTTCCCCTTTTAGTTCAAACTCCACCTTTCTCGTGCGGCGCTGCCTTTATTCTTATTTTAGCTACAAGTATCTCATGCAGTGGAGCTGGTCACACGGGCTAGGCCCCATGACATCAGCAGCCACTGCCTCTAGCAACTGTACAGTACATATGTACAAACAAACATGTATTCAGTATATATACAGGAGCAATACATGGGGAAGGACTCAGCGAGTCCTCCTGTTGTATACCAACTAACTCACTGCATCTTAAGGGGTAACCACTCCCTCTTCATCTTCTCTATAGTGTGTTCCTGTATGCGCCGGAGTAACTAACTCTTGGTTGTTACATGTATTGCTCCTGTATATATACTAAAATACATGAGGTACTGTACAGTTGTAAATTTTTAAAGTCTGATGTCTAGTATGTGACCGGTCACATGATGAGTCTAGACATTGGTCAGGTGTTGTGTCACATGCCTGGTCATGTGACTATGAAAAAGTCGAAAATGTAATGTAAAGTAAATGGTCACATGACTGGTCATGTGACTTGGAAAAGTAAAAGTAAAAGTACAAAAAAGTTAAGTGTAAGTAGGTACTGGTACGTCAATTGTAACACCAGCACTGTGAATAAAGCAAGTTGTTCCCCAATTATGATGAATTGACTGCATGATGGTATCAAAAGCATTCCGCTGCTCTACATTATCTTTTAAGTAATAATAATACAGTTAAGTGATCAAATTTTATCGAGTCCAAAGTCAGTGAACTTGTGCTGTCTGTTCTTATAAGCGTGAGAATTCTTCAGTGTGGCTACAATTTTCACTGTGTTCACTACTGTACTGCTGCTCTGTGTTGCCACAAAAACCACGCGAGCAAAACCAAGCAAAATAAACGACGCAACGTGGCTCACATGCGGCATTTAGGACCACCGTCCCCTTCGTTATAGATAAGCGCCAAGCCCTCCGTGTTGCAACAGACATAGTCGCAATCCTGGTCTCTCAGCAGCCGGATCCCCACTCCATCACCCTCTCCTGCAAACTTGTGCTCAACTACCCCTGCCACCATGTTGATCCACCCACAGCCAACTCAGCTGCTGCTGATGATGTCAAAGAAGACCCTTGTTGAGAAGATCCAGAAGCTGTCGGTCCAGCTGAGAGAGGCGAGGTGGGAGCAATATACAATGCAGGGCCATAATACTTTCATGATGTGTGAGTTGTCGGACGTGAAGGACAAGCTGAATAATATAAGGAGCAAGGGAAAGAAGAAAAAGGGGCTTTGAGTTCACGCTGAGCTCCTGACAAGTGCCAAGTCACGTGAGAGGCATGCTGCAGAAGAAGAAGAACGACAAGAGAAGGTGAGAAAAGAAGAGGAAGCCAAGGCTTCAAAAGCAAGAGGTCCTTGATCAAATCAAGGACCATTTTGAAGCCCATCCTTTTCACTCCCATCTGGAAACAACATGTCCATGGCTGCTGGCTCATTCCCGCCTGGTAGTATTCCATTTTCTCCTTTTCCATCATCAAGCTCAAGTATGTCTCAAAATTCTCAAAATTTGTCATATTATATACCAAATACTTTCATACATAGTAATAATAGAATGTTTAGTAGCTAATATATATATATATATTCCTGGCTTGTATTATTTCCACTGATGCCCTAAAACTTGAAATGATGTACATACGAGCAGCCTTAGGACTTAGAGAAAATTTTATTTTGGCCAAGTCCTTGCCAATGAGCTCCACCTGGTTTCGTTTGTGAGTGCCGTCGTGACTCAGTGTGACCGAAAGTTGCAGAACCATTCCAAAAGGTGTGTCATCATTTTGGTTTCATTCCGCTGCACTAATGCCTCAAATTCTTGCTTATTCTTCTACATAAACAGCTAGAAAACTAAAAATTCTATCTACTGGTCAAGTTCCGACGGTCTCAAGCTCAACGAATAGTGAGTTATTCAACTTCTCCCCAGACTACTAATAAAACTAAGTGAAACTCAGCCGCTGCCCGAGAGGCTATAGAAACGACTTTATTATTTACCTAAGTGAAACTACAATAGATGTTAGTTTAAGGTGATCTCTAATAAATGTAATGTAACATACCTCAGCTGCTGCCTACTCGCTACAGTATAATGACTCCTAGGAGAACAATGGTTACTCCATGGAGTGGTGGCTATGCTCCATGGAGAACAATGGCTGCTTCGGCAGAGACCGGGTTTATCCGGTTTTGTCAACTACCTATTGTCCAACGATAGTATCCTATTGGACGGAGTTAGATTTTCGTTGTGCCGATAACCGGCAGTCAGTTGTCAGAGTCTAACCTCGAGGATCGGCAGGAGGTCGTTAGTCTTTCGTGTGGGCTTAGTTTGATATTCCAACTCAATTAGAGGTCAGCTCAATCCCATTAATTACGGTCTATCGATCTAGTCCCCCAATGTGCAGTAGACTCCTTTTCATCTTGCACTCAAAATTTATCTTATCAGTCGGGGTTGTTCTATTGATAGGAGGAACGACCGTCTTCCTCCTCAATGGTATGCCTAGGGGAGACTAGGGTTGTTGTTATCTACACGCTCCCCCCAAATCTTGACCGCGTCTCTGGTTTTGGGACAACAATCAGGAAGGTGAGGATCATGAGACTGTTTTGTATCCCGAGCACACGTCGAAAATCAATGTTGATGTGAGTTTAAATCCCACACGGCATCACGAGATTCATAGCAAGGCAAAGAAGACCAAATGGAATGGCTGGTATATCCCAACGGATTCCGTTACATGTCAAGGCCATCTTCATGTTAAGGTGATCTTTGTCACGTATGCCATTGAACTTTTCTTCCTATAGTACTACTTAGTTACTAGCACTGCGTGTTATTCAATTTGGCACAAACCAGTGTCCGTACAATCAACATAACTGAACCACGGAAAATGTTGTGAAGAAACGGCCATGGGGCATCGGCTAGACCACTTCTTAACCTGAAAATTCTGAAATCATACTCAACAGAACTGGTTTCATGGAACTCTCCTATCAGCATTGATAATAACGAGACAAATTAGACATTTCAATCTTCTTGTCTAGAACAGTGGAGCATTTGAGCTAGATATGGTCACGAACTTCGACCGCAGTCAATCAGTCATGCCTCTTCTTGTCAAGAGAATGAATATGGTAGGCCGCATATTACCGGTAGGCAGAGGGAGACTCCGAGGATGAGATTACTGAAATCACTGAAAGGCGCTGGCTAGGTGTCATGACATCGAAAAGAAGTTCGCAGGCCATTACTGTTCAGGAGTTCGTATAGCCAAGCTAGTGGCAATGAGTGATTCGGCCATAAATCGCCCAGGCTGTGAAGGGCATACAAGGTTAGTATGCATGTGCACAAAGGACCATCGGGCTGTCGGGGCGATACGCATTTGGCTAGTCCGTGCGATTAAGAACAGAGCCATGTACAATGAAGCCGTAATAGGTCTCATTCTATAATCCGCTCTGATCATCACAACAGCATCTGCCATGGAAAGAATCAAGAGTGATAACGAATGCAACATACAGGATAGATACGGAGTTCCCCGTCCTTGGACACGGCCATTATCGTGACCCGAAAATTCGCCACGATGCTATCTTGAGCGTCAACACACTAATGCATGCCACTTGCCATCGTCATCGTAGTCATGAGTACATGAGGATATACACATACTTGGAGGTCACTCCGCAAAATGGCTGATTTCATTGGCATCCATCGGTATTCTTTATTATCTGGTCCCTGAAACCAGTGCGTTTCGTCAAACGCTCCCTTCCTCCTCTCCAGCTGAGTGGTCCAGCCATCTTTATTTGTGACACTAAGGGTCTCTGGGGAATCATCACAGATGTATTCGGAATACTTGAATTCTGTAAACGTCTTTCGTATTCGGCAAACTGGAGGACCATCTTTGCCTCCCGCACACAAGGCAAGTTCCCATCTTGAGACCGTCCGAACACCTTTTACATGATATCTGTAATATGACGATAAGTATATAGTATCTTGTCTCTGACAATGTCCTGAACTCACAATATCGTCGACCTATCTGCGGCCTTAACAAATCGATCGCCGCTGAAAAACCAGCCATCCCTGTAAATGTGGAAAGACGTTGGTTCTTCGGACATTGGAAACTGCTGCGAGTAGAGAAGCACAAGCAAGCCAGGCGATCACTATAGAATAAAGTACATCTTTGAGTTATGCCTATTAAAGCATTGTTTTGCGGTCGATGAGGGTAAGAACCTGTCTAAAATGGCGTTTAATATCCAGTGCGGGTTCCATAGGCCGATACTATAGTTAGATCGATGCAGCACAATACCGGGCAAGGCGCTGGAGAGTTTTACTTGGAAAGGTAAAATGAAAAGAACATTCAAGCGCTTTGGCCCTCTTGAAGACGACAACCAGCCAGAAAGATCCACTTCGAAGCTGGGATATAAATGTGCTTTCCAGAGCACGAGTTTGCCGCAGGATTACATGAGTGTTTCGGTTGCTATTAATTGCAGTATCTCATATCAGCTGGTGCCAGCGAAGATTTTTAATACGAAGCTCACTTGAAACTTTCGTTTTATATCAATTGCGGAATCTGAACTTTCCTTTTAAGCTCGATAGGTAAGTAAATTGTGGGACCGTTAGATTAGTCTTATAGAGATGATTTGGGAGCAGTGGATTTTCTCCTCATGGAATTTCGAAGGGTCCGCATTCAATGGACCTGCGGAGGTTTCTGAGGTAAGAGTTATGGTTTGCCAGTAGAATGGCGATTTGATTTAGCCTTTTTCTGTTGCGAAAGAATCCAGTCAAGATGGAAAGATAGCCAAGAAAACACTTGGATGGTTAAATCTAGTCGAGGGTGCTTCGGAAGATTCCATATGCTCCAACATTATACGTTAATATATAATATAGCATGCTTAACGTGGCTCCTGTGCAGGAAAATAAATAAATTGAAAGACTACTTATGACAGACAATGTTACGTGCTATACACAATCGTATAATGTTTGAGGCTTGACGGAATACGTAAGAACATATTGACCGCATATCGCCGCAAGTTGAACGAAAGGGGCTCCGTGCACAACACTCCTAAACCTCATTGCTGTGGAGTCCGCATTGCTAGAGTAGTTGCGACAAGCAAATCAGACATAAATTGTCCGGCCTATATAAAGGGGGGGGGGAAGATGACGAATCAGTCCGACTGCAAGTCATGCAAGTATTAACACCGTTGATAATAGTTTCGGTGTGGACAACAATGAAGTAAATCGAAGAGGGCAGGACCTCCGTCCTTCTCAATCCCCTTACTATCTCACACAATCGCCGCTCTGGAACACCATAGACAAGTGCAGAACAGGGCACAGAACATACCGGATAGATGCGAAGCTCCCCATCTTTAGCTATAGCCATAGTGGTGACACGATAAGCTGCAATCATGTCATTGTGTGCATTAACGCACTTTAGTTTTGTTACTCAATCAACCATACTATGACTTTGAAGATGAAGACTTACCAACAGGTCATTCCTCCAGGACCACGAACTACGCCATTTCCATCGGTACTCGTTGTTATCAGGTCCTTTGAACCAATATGTCCCGTCAAAGTAACCTCGACGCCTCTCCAACCTTGTAGTCCAGCCATCAGACAGCATGGTGATAACAAAAGGCATGAGAGCCTCGTCGAATTGTATTCCACCATGCGTTTTGTGTATTCGACAAACACCAGGGCCTCTAACCCCTCCTGCGTGGAGCGTAAGGTCCCAGTAAGATGAGGTCCGAAAGCCATGTAAGAAATATCTGGAGTCTCCTCATTGGTCATGAGCAACGATTACTGTAACACCCCAACATATAATTTTACACTCACAGAATCGTTGTTTTATCTGCGGATTTCACAATCCGGCTGTCGCTGAGTAACCAACCATGTCTATAGACATGAACAGAAACAGGTTGCTCTGCCATGGTATTTCCTAGCAGCGAATAGTGTTCAGTCCCTATAGCGGCAATACAAGAGCTGAGCACGTTATTTGTCCGGTCATAGTTCCATTTTGCACTGAAAGCCCTTCGTACGGGAAAAAACGCTGCACCTTATACGCAACAATGCACCATGCACATGGCTACGTTTAACCCGCCTTTCCAAGGTACAGGGCGCAATCATGCTTCTAAATATACTTTCTTCTACGTTTGGGGATGTTATTGCCCCGGGATGGCCACAGATTCGCGGGAGAGACGACCAGTGAGATGGCATTACGCAAAGGGGAGGGATTTTTGATTGATGCTGAACCGATGAGTCCACGACAGAGCTCACCAAAGAGAGCGGATATACATTCCCATTATGGGATCATGTAGTTGATTTCAAACAGCCCGAGATGAATGGTTGACTGGACCAGACTTGTCCTACGACTCTGAGGATCGCTCCAAAGTCAAGTGGCGCCAGTTGTACTTCTGCGTGTATGCATACCTCTTGGGAGAACAACGACCCACATGCTCACTTCAGTACAAGAAACGATCGTTGCAACACTTGAAGAATATCGTGCAATGAAACGAAGCGTGCACACACTTTCGTGTATGTCTCCTGCTCACCAACAACCAAACATCTACGACAAGATCCATATTCGCTTATCGCGCACTATTAGTAGAAACACATAGCTAGAAGGTGCTATCCCAGACTGTTTGCGCAGGAGGTGGTGGCGTGTTTACACTTCTGGTTTGTGGGTCCGAAGCCTTATTTCTCTGCCTGGGTTGGTGTTTCTGAATGAAGTCTAGGTTCAAGAACATGAGATATCCTTCTGGGCACGAAACTGATGACAGGAATATGGATGCGAAACAGAACTAACTAGAAGAAAGTGACCGTGATGGCTGAAACCCTAACCTTAGGGCCGAGCCGGGTGAGGATGGGCAGAATCGGAGCTCGATAAATTCTAATCCCTCCATTTACCTGGCAGACACCTGTCTTCAATCACCCGCGTATGGCGTCTAGGATCGTTGTAAACACTCTGAGGGCTTCAGGTATGACTTGTATCTTTCAAGAAAAATGTTTTAACGCTAATAGTTCAAACTCTTGTTGTCCTCTAGCCCGGCCACGAGCCCTCCCTACCGTTACTCGTGCGGTCAATGCGTGAGTTGCACTTTAGCTGCTCGCCTTATGACGAAGATATAATGTCCTATATCATATAGCCGTGCCATGAGCTCCTCGAATCCTCCGCCCTCCGAACGCGCCTCCGAAATTATCAACAACTTGCCCTCTTCTCAGAATCTCGTCACGAAAACCGGGACGGTCATCCTGGGTACTGGTTTGCTTGCCACGGCCATTTCGCAAGAGCTCTACGTACTTAACGAGGAGACCGTTGTTGCCGCTGGAACTTTTATTCTTCTCGCGTTCCTTGCCAAGGCATGTGCTTGGTTTTTGACACTTGACGACTTGTGTACATTTACTGATAGCTACTTTATTTATTCAGCTTATTCGAGAACCTTACAAGGAGTGGGCGGATGGACATATACAACGTATTTGGGGTGTGCTGGAGAGTTCTCGTGCAGAGCATACTCAAACCGTTAAGGACCGCATCAACTCCGTTGAGCAGATGAAAGACGTTGTATCTCTGACCGAGGGCCTCTTTGCTCTTTCCAAGGTAGGAATATTTGTGGATCAGGCCGTATAACGTTAATGACGATATCCGCATTCATAGGAGACGGCAAAGCTTGAATCTGAGGCATTCGTGCAACAGCAGAAGGTTGCTCTCGCATCTGAGGTCAAGGCAGTTCTGGATAGCTGGGTTAGGTTTGAACAGCAAGCTAAGGAAAGCGAGCAGACGGAGCTTGCCAAAAGCGTCATCGACAAAGTTCTAAGTAGCATCAAAGATGAGAAGACGCAGAAAGAAATTCTGGCTAATGCTGTTGCGGAAGTTGAGCGTAAGTGATACCACTGCATGTCAAGTGTGCTACTTTAAGCTAACATGAACTGTTCAGAATTGGTGAAAAACAAGGCGATCTAGAGTCGCCGTCTGACCATGGCGGACTTAGATTATATCACTATCTCCTTTTTTAAGTGAGAACGCCTTGTGAGGGGTGTTTCTTGCGCTCTACGTACTTGATAGATGTAGTACACCCCGCCTGAAGATATTTCATGTGCTCACTGAATGTTGAGGATTGAATATTGAATATTGAAACTTAATCCAACCGTGACATATGAACAATCTGTGGACCTATTATGCACAACAACCGCAAACAGAAAGGGCCGTGACGACGCGCGAGCTGGAACGCGTGAAACGCCAGACTTGGGCATAAAAGTGCTTTGTGCACAGTCGCCTTGGCTTAAACTTGAAGCTTGATTTCTTGCACCGAAGACGGTTGAACCACTGGACTTTATCATTATCATCTAAGCAATCATGGACTCGGATCTCATCAAACTGGTGAATACCCTCCAGGATACGTTCAGTAACCTTGGTGAGTGTCATTGTCACTGGGTGCTTATTTATCATCTCAGAATGTATCTCTTCGCCAGGTGGGGAACTGGACATGCCTCAGCTAGTCGTGGTAGGTAACAAACATAATACAGGGCAAGAGCCCATAAATTTACTATTAATGACTCGGTACTTAGGTCGGTAGCCAATCGGCAGGCAAATCCAGTGTCCTCGAGACGTTCGTGTTGTCATTTCCATTTTTGTGTTTCCACCCATTTACTATCTACTGGAACCAGTATTGTAGGACGAGATTTTTTGCCTCGCGGGCAAGGCATCGTCACCCGTCGGCCACTAGTCTTGCAGCTCATCCATACACCAGTTCCAGAACCCTCTGCCGCATCCTCCGAATCTAGCTACAAGGAATGGGGCCAGTTTTTACATATTGATAAACGATTCACAGACTTCGATGAAATTCGTCGAGAGATCGAACAGGAAACTTTCCGAGTAGCTGGACAGAATAAAGGAGTAAGCAGACTGCCAATATCCTTGAAAATATACAGCCCGGACGTGTTGGACTTGACCTTGGTTGATCTTCCAGGCTTGACAAAAGTGCGTGTGTAGTTATTCCTTGTTACTTGTTCTTTTCTTCAGCTCCTATCTTTGTAGATCCCAGTAGGTGACCAGCCTAGCGATATCGAGCGGCAGATACGCAGCCTCGTGCTGGACTACATTTCGAAACCGAACAGGTAGGTTTCGTGATTCCTGTCCATTTCACTTTCCGTCATTGACGAGGTGCAGTGTGATATTGGCTGTTTCAGGGGCAAATGTAGACTTGGCGAACTCGGACGCACTGAAATTGGCCCGCTCAGTTGATGTTCAAGGACGACGGACAATCGGAGTCCTGACGAAGCTAGACTTGATGGATGCAGGGACAAACGCACTGGATATCTTGACGGGGCGTGTGTACCCCCTCAAATTAGGATTCATAGGTGTTGTGAACCGGAGTCAGCAGGATATCAATGCCGAAAAGAGTATGGGAGATGCCTTGGAGTCGGAGACAGAGTTCTTCCGCAACCATCCTGTTTACAGGAACATTGCACACAAGAACGGTACAAAGTATCTTGCGCGGACTCTCAATCAGGTAAAAGAAAATTGCGTTGAATTCAACTTTTATGAGCTAAAACGCCTTCCCTAGGTGTTGATGAACCACATACGTGATAAGCTCCCGGATATGAAAGCACGATTAAACACGCTGATGGGGCAAACACAGCAAGAGCTGAACTCCTTCGGCGATGCGGCGGTGTTCGGAGACAAAAACCAACAAGGGGCTCTGATACTGCGGCTGATGACTCAATTCGCTCGCGACTTTGTTTCTTCGATAGAGGGTACGAAAGTTGACATCTCGACGAAAGAACTGTCGGGAGGTGCACGCATCTATTACATTTTCAATGACATATTTGGGCATGCCTTGGCCTCGATTGACTCTACACAGAATCTCGAAAATCAAGACATCCGGACTGCCATCAGAAACTCAACAGGCCCGCGGCCCAGTCTGTTTGTACCTGAAGCTGCATTTGACCTCCTTGTAAAGCCACAGATCAAGCTACTAGAGGCGCCCAGTCTACGGTGTGTAGAATTGGTATACGAAGAGCTGGTGAAGATATGCCATAATTGCACTAGCATGGTAAGTGGCTACTTCTATACAGTCATCTCCATTTGTAACGCTGTGGTCAGGAACTGGAGCGATTCCCTCGACTACATGCTCAACTCATTGAGGTAGTGTCAGAGTTGCTGCGCGAACGCCTTGGTCCGACTTCGGAGTATGCACAGAGCTTAATTGAGATTCAAGCAGCCTATATCAACACCAATCATCCCGCTTTCATATCGAGCTCCGCGGCTGCGGCTCAGGCTGCGAATTCTCCGCCTCCCAAAGCAATTGCTCCATCGCGAGTAAGTACCAATTCCCCAGGCTTCTACCAGTCATTGAGTATTTTTTAAAATAATCGCCCAATTAGCCCATTAGTGCAGAATCCGTCAATGGAGGTTCAGCGCATGAAGATGAGGAAGAGTCCTCAAATGAAGATAGCTCTGCAGTAAATGGTATCCCCGCTCGTGACGGGCGATCGGTGTCTTCCACCGTTCATGATCGTTCGAGGCCGAATGCCACACATGCGAGTACGCTGGGAAAACAGTCATCGAGGCAACACATTGCACAAGCTGCTCGTTACTCTTCCGGTCACACTCAGCAGCAGCTGGGTGCACCCGGCTCGTCCCCACATACAGCAAAGGAAACATTCTTGAATTACTTCTTTGGCCAAAATGGACCTGGGCCTGTCGCGGGTTCCAGCATGGACAGGTCGCAGCAACCGCCGGCGCCTATAGGACGAGATATGTCCAGTGCCGAAGCGTCTGCCCCCACGGGATTGATGGCCGGTAAGAGAAGCTTGAATGGAAACAACGCGGCCTACGACATGAAGAGCCTCGGTAAACACATAGAAGCCGTGAGTTCATTGTGAACACATGATACGGCATGCTCGCAACTAATGATGATGATGAACTGTCAGATTTCGTCTGAAGGAGGGCCGCAGTTGACAATGCGAGAAGAAATGGAAACGTCTCTGATCCGGTCTCTCATCGCATCTTATTTCTCGATTGTGCGACAAAGCATCCAAGACCTCATCCCCAAAGCAATCATGCATTTCTTGGTGAACCACACGTCGCAACAGGTGCAAAACCGATTGGTGGCATCGCTATATAAACCTGATTTGTTTCCAGACCTGCTTAACGAGGATGAGGCACTAGTTGCAGAGCGTACGAGGGTCAAGGCTTTGTTAGATGCATACAAGGAGGCATTCAAAGTTCTTTCCGAGGTCAGCCTCAAATCCACATAGAGAATACACATTCTATCTAGATAATACATACACCTCCCTCCACTCATCTTCGCCATGGATCAGGTAAACTCGACCCCGTTGTTCTTTGTTAGTTGTTTGCACTATAGTGAATATAATGACCCTGTAATGACCTTTCGTCGAGCTTCCATTCCAGACCATTCTTACAGGGTAGACCACTGCCAATGAAGTCAAAACCAAATAAAGCCGGGATACGGCAATTGATCTAGTACGTACGAACAAAAACACCATGTCGGAACAACAGGGACAGGGATAATCGATAACCAATTGCACGAGACAGTGACGAAACCCCGGAGAACTTGGAAACAAAACGTGAAGAGTCCTAACAAGAGAGCAATAACACCAACCCTTTAAGAATCTTGAGCCGTCTGACCCTTGACAGACACCCATTTCTCCTTCACGGCCTCCTTAGCGGCGCCTTCACGAACAACGTTCTCGTCAGCTGATTTGTCGTTTTCCTCCTCCGATGTAACGCTTTCTTCTGTATCGGCTTCGATACCCCCGCTACTGTCAGACTCGGAATTAGATGATGATTCACTTAAGGATGCCTGTACTCCTTCTGGGAGTACTGGCGTGTTTGCTCCACTGGAACTGTTACTGGAAACATCAAGCTTCAGGGCTGTCTCGGTACGTAGGGCTTTCTTAGCTTTCGCTCGGGCTTCCTTCCTATCGGCCCTCTAAAGAAAGCAGTTGATGAATGGGAAATCAGGTACGAACGCGATAATCTCACTTCTTTAGCTTCCTTTTCTTCTTGCTTTAGATCGAAATGGTAAGAATCAGCTGTTCAATTAGCTCTGATTAGATTCAGTTGTTTACCTCTTTGGCGGCCTTTTCCTCCCTCTGCAATAGGCTATTAGTAATTGATCCAAAAAAAAAACATCAGACGAACTACCTCTTTGCGTTCCCTCTCTTCGGCCTAGGCATAAAATTAGACTCGATATGTGGAACAAGAGCCATCGGCACATACCTCTTTCTTTTCCTTGGCTTCGCGCTAGTTCGCGATAGGTCAATGTAATGAATCATGCACGAAAGAAGGCGAACGCACCTCAGCCTTCTCTTTCTTGAGCTTCTCGCGTGTTTCACGCTCCTGGATTATCCTATAGCAAATGAGATAGAAGATGATGCAAATCGTGAGGGTAAAATTGAAATATACCATTCATCTACCTCTTCGACACACTCGCGTGGACGGGTCTTATTTTTAAGTAAGTAGCCTTGTAAGCTGGCGACCTATGGTACATACTTTAAACGGATCGTCATGCAGAATGAGGGAGACCACTCACACTGAGCTCATTCTCCGGAATCGCCTCTGCAAATCTCTTGGCGAGAGCAGATATTTCCTCTTCTGTCAACAAAGGAATAGCATGAGTGGGCGTTTTGCGTTTGGGCAGAGGCAAATTCTTCTGGGAAGCATCTACATCCTTGCCTTCTTTCTGGACAGACACCGACGGTAATGGAGTGGCGGGGGCCGAAGGTTTAGATGGGAAAAAACACTTGAATATTCCCTCGGCCTGCCACTTGGTGGCGTGCGTGAAGTTGACCCATACGTCCATGCGACCCGGCCTACTCAATGCAGGATCAAGTCGCTCGATATGGTTGGTTGTGGCGAAAAGTAAGCTGACAGTGAGAAAGATAAGACAAGTCAGTCAGTCAGGCGGAAGGAACAACAAAAGTCTCATCGTTGACGCACCGGCCTTCCGCCGCAGCGACACCATCGAGGCTGTTCAAAAGTCCGCTCAAACTCAAAGTCGAACCATCATTGGTCTCAGCTGGATTTGTGGTTGAACTGGCCGCAGTTGGGGCACCTGTTGACGATGAATCACGGCTGACGGAACGCGTGAAAGCAGCATCTAGATCTTCAAGAAGTAGTATACACCTTTTCAGAGTAGAGATAGGTTTAACGTTGGCCTCGAATCGTAGTACACGGACTCACCTAGATGGTACATGACCCATCAACGTTGTTAATGTATTATCGCTCATGCTGAGTCAGTTTCTTAGTAAAAGTCGTCCAATTGCAGTTATATTTGGCCTTACCCCTTTGATGACAAACTGACGACATAGATGTCAAGACCAAGTTCACCGGCAAGTGAATGTATGAGTGACGTCTTGCCGCTATCATAAAGACTGTGAGTTTATCGCGTAGATAGGCTAATAATATGACAGACCTTCCAGGTACACCATGCAGGAGATATCCACGACGGAAGGGGATGCCTGTTCCTAGTTAGCAAAGAACGCAGCAATGCGTAGCGCGTACGAACCTCTTTCAGCATACCTTACAAAGTGTAGTCAGCATCGTGGAAGAAAAAGAGTAATTTGAAAACCTTACCAATCCTCCGAGCAGAGGAAGTCCTTGCAATCAGCCAGCAGCATATCCTTAACGCCGGGTTGGAGCACGATTGAGCTCATAGGACGCTTCTGCCGAGCTCCATTCCAACGCCAACAACCATAAGTGCTGTGATCGAACTTAGTACGGCTGAAGAAAGGTTTGATGCAGTCTAGTAACTTACGTGTCAGCCATGAAGATATGTACGCGATGCTCGGCATCCTTTTCATACTCGCGTTTAGCTTCCAGAACAAGTTTTTTGAGAATGTCGTTATTGCGCGCTACCACGCTGAAACATCGTATCAATACCAGTCTATGGGTGATGAGATGTGTTTGTTACCTGATCTTGAGAGCGGCACCGTGCCCGTAATCAGGGTAACGTTTTGTCCGGGTTATCTACAGAGATGTTAGAGTCCGAGGACATGAAGGCAAACTGTGTAAACGTACCCGAAGCCAATGACCACGGTAATATATTGTGTGAGTAGTGTCTACGTCACATCATTAGTCACAGTCACACATGCCGTAATGCGGTCACATACCTAAACTGGGCATAAACGCTACCTTGCGTTTCCTGCGGCCGTGGACAAGTGCGTCCGAGTCATCGTCCTCTTCCACATCGTCCTCTTCTTCCAGGTCGCCTGTCGTTGTCTGTGTTATGCCGCTACGGCCCACAGTCCGTGTCGTTATCTCAAACTCGCGACTGCGGCCCCATGCAGGTTGCTGTCCATTACTATGTAAGCCACATTGCTCCCAATGTCAAAATGGGCTACACAAACCTTGGAAAGCCAGTGCATGAGCCTGAGAACGCAGATGAGGTTCAGAGTTATTCTGTTATTCTGAAGATAGGCCGAGAGTATATTTACCAGTCATATGGGTAATCTTCTTGGCTGAAATGTGCAGTCAAGAAGAACGCTATAATATTTTGGTTAATACCGTACCACCATTCAGAGCAAGCATCTCACAGTCCACGAAGCCATTCCAGGCGGAAACGGATGCTCTTCTGGCTGTTTCGACTGTTCCACCGATGACAACGAGTTTCTACGCGTATACGTAGCGTCAGTTGACGAGACCATGAGATGCAGAGAGAGAGAGCGTACGAGTGTGTCTTGTATAGCGTTGGTGTTCATTCCCAGGGGGGAAAGCATGCTTTTGAGTGCCTCCATGGCGGGAAGGTATAGGAAAGAAAAAACGAAAAAGTAGGAGGCGCATTTGAGCCCGTCTATGTCGGCCTTATAAGAATTAACAAGCGCCTCGTGTTACAAAATTGTAACAGGGAAGCGGATTGCCAACATAATAAAACGGTATCAATACTAGTACTTCATTCGGTACGCTTCCCGATAACAGAACATAATAAAGTGTGCAGGCGTGCGATCACTCAATCTCAAGGCATACCTCATCCAAAATGGGCCACTGTCTGCTAGATAAGCACCATTTCGCTAACGAATCTGCATCCTGAAACTTCATATCCTCAGTGAATCCTTAAGAGAGCTTAGAATGAGTGCAATTTACGTCGTGGCCTAGCCGTCCTCGGGGTTTGACTGCAATATTTATTAGGAAATAAGGAAATGAAAGGGGCGGAGTCTAGCAGTCACTAGTAGCCGTTGGCGCACGGGCAAAGCTTCGTGTCACGGCTCATTATGGCATATACTATGAAGTTAACGTTCAGGAACCCACGTCGCACTCACCTCCTAGGCTACTCACGCTTCTTTATAACCTGAAACTCGTCGTATTTTACCGCAGCCAAGTGTCATACGCCAGCTGGTCCATGCGTCGGCGCAGGTAACTGAGGTCTATCACTTCCTGCTTGAGCCTCGCCCACGACGGAATGCCACTATCACTGTTGACGGACTCGGAATACTTGGGTCCTCACGTACCCCACGCCGCCAATTATAAACCTAATCTGGAACCTGTAAAGCCGGCCGATTATTATTAGCCGCAAAACGGCTGTAAGAACCTTAGTTTGTCCGAGTCGCATCATGCGGGAATACTGATTTGCAAAACCTTGAAGGATCACATCCTACCCTACCATGATGACTTTCGCCACCAGCCTAAACAAGTTCAAAGAGCTATTGGGGCGAGCATAGGCTGGATGGCATGATGGCGACACGGTCCTAGCGCTTGGAAAACGAAAAAGCACAGGATGGTCCAAAGATTACGCTGATGACAGTTACCAAAGACGGTCAGAAAATTCAAAAAATTCCTTCGAGATACGTTCGGTCTTCAAGATCAGATCCAGGGAAGAGTCGCATCCGATGTGGCAATCGGGCCAACCTTGACTTATATGGAAACCTATTACGATCAGGTCGCAAATGGACTCGCCAGCATGAACATAGCAAGGTCAGACAGCCCATACTTTTGCGGGGAAATACCATTGTCAAAGACGTAAGTGCAGAAGAAACTGAATGGACGAACGCTCCACAAAAGCATCCGGACCGCTCAATTGCTCACCCGCATCCTGAGATTTGGAGGGATAAGTATGTGATAAGTAGTACTATGCGAAAAACATGCCATTCCGCAACCGAGATTGACATCACTCGCTCGAACGGTCAGATGGCTGACGACAAGCCAGGTTACGTGCGTAAGAAAACTCCGATACGTAGTTCTCTGCGGAAAATATAAGACGCCTTGCGGTTCATCAAAATCAAAAACTGCGCGAGTCGGTTTCGAGCGCCTACCAGACTGTCACACCGAACCATTGACAGGCAGCCTGTAATGTATCATCTTTCCTGTCCTCATCTCCTTCACCAGGTGCACCGGTCACGGCGCGCCGGAATAATTACTGCGAACCGCAGAGGCGTAGAACAGCATGGCCCCGGAAATCATAATGTACTTTCATCAAACGCCACATGAGCAAGGGCGCCATGGTCTAGTAGCCAGCAGTCAAGGGTCGAGGCCTCCACTCAGCTATGATATATACCACATCAGGTTGTGATTAGAGGCAAATCACAAGGGAAGCGACGACGCACAGCAGCACAACATATCAGCAACGCTTGACACTGATGCGCCACGGCACACCCAGGTCGAGCGGAGTGCACACAGTACATGCAGTACCTACGCAGCATTAACCACAGCTCTCTGTAAACACATATCCAGGATATTCAACAGGCCGTTCGGATCTTGTAATGCTGTTCGACATCTATGTAGTCATGCCGTATCATAATGCAAGTCTGATGGATTCTGGAGAAGACGGATCTCAGCGGAGCCGTCGTGACTCATTGGAGCGGAGCTTGACAGATTCAAGTTGAGTCCACCAATCCAAGGATCCGCTTTGTAGGAGAACAAGATACAATCTTAAATCTCTCCAATTCCAAGATAACGTTTGTTTGTCTTGAGTAACACCGTCCCGGATATCCGTATGTCTAAGAGCCTGAGATAGGAGCCAACTATTCCCAGAAAAGCTGTAAAAATGCCACGATCCTTAATCACCGTCCTACATTTCCAAAATGCAACGAGCATTACTTGTGTTGACTATTAGGGGAGACTACTGGAAAGTACTTTACCTTTCTGATACGGTGTCATCATCAGCAGGGTCGTTCTGATGGTGAGGCTGACGTTGATGACGGTCCAGGAAACAATGAGCCAGCAAGGGCGCCAACCAATGAGTTCGCTACGTAAAATCGACTCCGTGTTCAGGCAAGTGAGAAGAGAACACAACATCCTGACGTCCTGGTAAATAAAAAATAATTATTACCGACGAAACTGGGTAGGTTTACACGTGCATACCAAAGAGCCGGAACCTGGAAATACAGACTGTCAAAAATCCAAAAACTTTACAAATAGAAACGGTTTTTACGTATTGCGTGCATTATAATTGCCTAGTATTTGCCGAACTATATGCTGGTTAAAGAATGTCCAGCTCGGACACCGCGGCTGCTACTGCAAAGGTACATCACCACACTGTGGGTATGCATGGAGTGTACGGATGGCCGTAGGAAGCTCCTGGGGGTGGTTACCTATGATTACACTATGAACTTGTGATACTAAGCGCTCAGAAGACTCACATGCATTGGCAAAGACGAAAAATACATTGAAATGATCCCGCAAGACTTTGAAAAAGTAATGGCAATACGCACATTCATTTACTCACACTAGTCTGAAGAGCGATAGTCTGTTCTCAATGGCCCAAATAGCTTTCATCACGATGTGACCGTTTGCTTGTTTGTGGGTCAGATGCACTCTGACAATGTATTCTCCTACGCGGCAACCTCGGGATTTGATGTCAAAGGCCGCAGTATTGGTCTGACTAAGAAGAACACTGATTAGCTTGTACGAGAGGTCAGTGGAGATGCCACACTAATGATTTTCGGTCAGAACAAAAATAATCCGTTGACAACGAATACCACTTGAACAGGTAGAGGGGTTCTCGTAACAAAAATGAGAGCACATGATTGCATAGACTTCAGGCGGAACAACTCACAGCGCGTTTGTTCTAGCAGCAGACACGTTGATTATAGCAAAAAGATATCATCACGAGGCAGGTCTTCATCATACAAGCGAAATTATCTAGATGAATGATTTCCAGCCAATTGCAAACGTTGACATATTAACTACTAGGTAAAAAGGCACCACCAAGAGAGACTCACGTTAATCTCTACGCGGAAGTTCACCCATTTCCACCTCATCCTCGTCCCGCGGGTGTGAGACCACTAGCCCCTCTGTCATTTCTCTCTTAACGCACAGCTGCTCGGCAATAACTATTGTCAATGCAGAGCTCGCTATCATGACTAACCAAAAAAAGAAGGAGGTGGGTATTGATGCTGAGTAATAGGTTGTGAGAACAAGGTGGTTAAACAAGAGGGTCAAGGTGAAATCCAAAATCAGACGAGGTCGCCGTATTAAGAAACATAAGTAATATATGCTATACAAAAAAGGGGTGTTCAATTTACACCTGCCAAGTTATCTCAAATAAAGTGGAATATATGCTTACTCGGCGCAAGATGCAAGCATCCAACAGAAAGCCAAGGTCCATCCACGCTTTGGGTCGGTAGTGCCGTCCCATTGACCTTCCTGCCATCCACTCCCTACCTTCTTCCCCATGCTCCATGCGCCAGTGTATTGGTTCCAACGCCCCTGTCCTGGGGTAATGGGCACAGTAGGTAACCCAGCCATCTCGCGCCAATCCATGACCATCCCTATTGTGAGTGCCGGCATACAGCGATGAAGATGAAAATGACTTGATGAGCTGGCGAGATTACATACCAACATTAGCTGGCCCTCCTTCATATATAAGCAAGCTCTTTTCAGCAAACATGGCGAGGCAGGGGGGTATTATAAGGGAAAGTGTAAGATAATGAAGTGTCTGCATTGATACGATCTGTGCGGAAAGGGTTAGCTTAGTTGACGTTCAGGAGTTCATAAGATATTATTGACACACCTGGGATATGAGTAGAACAGGATCCCAGCTGGTCGACGAGCGTGGTGCCATATTGCGTTTGTCGGCCAGTTCCACCCTGACAGTTCTATGGCAAGTGCGTTGGATGTCAGGAAAACTTGAAGACTAGTACTGCGGAAGAGTGGGGTTAGGGTTTGGTTATCCTTGGGGTACGGAAAAGGAAATGCTTTGAGGTTCACATCGGCTGCGAGCAACGCTGCGAACAAATCCCGAGCCTTCTAGCTCACAGGGCGGAGAGGTGCATTATGCAACCCCCATCCAAATACGAACGTATCTCAGAGGACGAAAGCGAAGAGCTTCGACAGATTGCTTCTTCCTCCAACCACAACCGTCTCCTAGACCGTCAGCCATCGATGAAGTCTGTCCATTATGAAGACAACTCTGACGACGAAGACGAAGTTCTTCTCGAGAAGAATGGTCCCCATTCCCCTGGGTATGCTGAGCGAGGTACTCGTGATATCGATATAGACGAACCAGAAAATGGGCTCGTAGTTGGTGGCAAGAAGGTGGGTGGTGTTTGTGAGTGGAGGCTCACGCAAGCTCAAAGAGCGTCAACCACCTATGCAGAGACCCTCGACGCTGCGGTGGCTGGTTATGTCCCTAGCTACACTCGTTATCTTCGCAGCAGGTATTGGCTTAATTGCTGCTAGGACATATACTGGAGGAGCTCCTAGAATTCATGGTAACCAGAAGATTACAATGGACCATGTATTCAACGGGACTTTCGCTGCTTCCAGCCAAAATTTGAATTGGGTCCCCGAGGGTACGATCAACGTTTTTCTTGGTATGCCTGACTGAAACAAGGTCGCAGCTGGGGACGGTGTGTTCTCGATTTTCCAAAATGCGGCAGTCAAATTAGTTGACTTGAAAACCAACACGACAACCACTCTGGTTACGATGAAAGATGTGAAAGACGTGGGTACACTATCTCTCTCTTAACATCGCGTCTTGAAAGCGAAGGTTTATAGGAAAATGGACAATATATTTACTGGTCAAGTTGGAAGCTTTCTGCTGATATGAAGTATATGTTAATCAAGGCGGACCATCTTAAGGTATCTGTTTCTTTCGCCCCCACTCTCTGTTCTTAGCCTAACATTCATACCGGAGCAATGGCGTTGGTCCAGCTTTGGAAATTACTATGTGCATAATCTAGAAACTAAAACAACATACCCCTTGATACCACCAACCAATCCTCCCGTAACAGCATACGCTACATGGTCTCCTATCGGCCAATCGATAGCGTACGTGACTAACAACGACCTTTATGTTCTTCCTTCACCAACGTGAGTGATTATTTACTATTTCGACGCGTGTATTCTTCTGAGAAACGTGAAACAAGTGCTTCATCTTCTGCTATTCGTGTTACAACTGCCGGAAATGCTTCTCTATTCCATGGTGTCCCAGACTGGGTTTACGAAGAAGAGGTTTTCTCAAACGATTTCGCCCTCTGGTGGTCTCCCGACTCGTCCAAGGTCGCGTTCCTTCGCCTTGATGAGACTCTGGTCGACGAATACAAATTTCCCGTCTATAACCCTACGGATGATTCCTCAGCTATTTTCCCTTATACAGAGGAGATAGTAATGAAGTACCCCAAACCTGGATACAACAATCCTCTCGCTTCAATTCACGTCTTCGATTTAGCTACATATCTGGAAGAAAATGAGTCGAATGCAAGTGAATTCCCCATAGAAAATGCCACGTTCGAGCTTGAGTGGGAGGGCCGGCATCCAGCTGAGAATAGCATCATAGGACAAATTAAATGGCTTGGTAACGACACTTTAATCCTGAAGGAAGTCAATCGCGCTGCAGACGACGGAAATGTGGTACTCTTCAATCTCGGTAACGCCAGTGGTGTGGACGCAACTACTGGTACTGTTGTTAGGAAGCTCGGAAAGGATGGCGAGGAAGGCGATGATGGCTGGATTGAAAGTGTAAATGCACATACTTTTTTCCATGCCATATGGGTCACTAATGATAATTTCTTTTCAGGATCAGTACATCTACCCACTTCCCGAGAGTTTAACTGGAGGGTCTCCCGCTTATCTAGATGTTGTACCCGATGCAAACGGTTACAACCACATCGCTCTTTTCAACCCTGCTGACTCTAGTACTCCTCGTTTCCTCACGTCAGGTACTTGGGAAGTTACAAGTGGCATAAAAGCCGTTGATGCCGAAAGAGGTCTTGTGTAAGCATTGTGTATCAGTTAAGGGTCACCAAACCTCTCAAATACTTGAACAGCTATTTTCAGGCAGCCACCCCATCCATTGAGCGTCATATATATTCGGTTTCTCTTGCCCTTGATAGTTCATTTATCCCGGCCGAACCCACCCCTTTGACAGATACATCTTCTCCATCTTCTTACAGTGCTAGCTTTTCGCCCGAAGCCGGATTTTACCTCCTCAGTTACCAAGGACCTAATGTACCTTGGCAACGGGTTATTCAAGTCGATAACACAGGCGCGAATCCTATTCATAACAAAGTGTATCGGAAACAATGCAACTGACTGAAACACTTATTGTAGATTTTACTTATGTTTTGACGGAGAATCCCCAGCTGAATGAAACACTCAGTCGGTTTGAAGCTGCAGTGGTCACATATACTACAATTGAAAGCGATGGCTACGGTATGTAAAATCTACAACATGGACAAACACGTACTCAGAGCAATGTGATCTAGAGCTGAATGTCAAAGAAATCCGCCCGCCACGCATGGATGACTCAGGACGGACCAAGTACCCTGTTATGTTTTTCCAGTAAGTACATGATATATTCTTATCATCAAATTTTCTGTTCACCACCCCTTATCATAGGTACGGTGGCCCTGGCAGTCAGAAAGTAGATGTGAATTTTAACCGTGACTGGCAGGATTATTTGGCCTGTGGATATCAGTACATAACTGTGATTGTGGATGGAAGAGGCACTGGATATAAGGGTCGGAAGTTGCGGAATCCCGTGCGGAACAATCTTGGGTACTGGGAAGCTCAAGACCAAATCAATGCTGCCCGGTGAGTTCCCGTTGAGCTTATGATTTTGATATCAATCGAAGCTGACTGTGCCTAAGTATATGGGCGGGGAAAGATTATATTGACCCGAAACGAATTGGCATCTGGGGCTGGGTAAGTTTATATTGTACATGTCATAGTGGAAGATTCAACCGATGTTGCTTTGTAGTCTTATGGTGGATTCATGAGTTCTAAAGTTGTTGAAGCGGATGCCGGCATCCACTCGCTGGCCATTGCTGTAGCGGTAAGTCTGATTGACATTGCCACGTTTGCCTTACCCATACCAACTATATTCTAGCCTGTGACAAGCTGGCGTCTGTACGGTAAGCACAGAGCTCTGAGAATTTGCATCAATAGTCTGAATCTACACGTTGTACCTTAAGATTCCATTTACACAGAACGATATATGGGCCTTCCCGAGAAAAACCCAGCAGGGTACATCAATGCCTCAATATCTCATGTCGAAGGCTTCCACAATGTCGATTACCTACTTGCTCATGGATCAGGGGATGACAATGTTCACTACGCTAACTCTGCGCATCTACTAGACATGCTGACCAGGGCGCAAGTCCGGAATTTCAGGTTTAGAATGTTCACGGATAGGTGTGTACACATGTTTGACTGATCTGATGTTTTGTATTGACCCGGTTGGCCATATCCAGTGACCACAGCATAAACCTACGGGGAGCCAATAGGGAGCTTTACGAGTACATGACCCTCTTTTTGGTGGAAAAGTGGGGGAAAGGTGGACGCCGACGTGGTTGGTGAGGAACGTAAGTTTCTTACAAATATGGGAACGGTGCCAGGTTTTGCGGTGTATAAGCGTATATAGTAACGACGGCCAGATGAGACTGCTGGAGCTGAGCGCTTCATTGTGTTAGACGCGTGCGGACAAACCTAGGCTTCACATCCAGGTGCAATTCCAGGCCCGGTATTTGTATTGTACGGCTCGGCTTGGCTGTACAGCGTCTGGTGTGACTTGTCGTCAAATGCGAGCTATCTGGTAATGCCCTATGATACTTGGCTATACCCTGCATCTACCGTCTCGTTTCTCTCCTGTACGGGCAAAGCAGCTGTGTGATGATAGCGGGGTGATGTTGGTGGGCAACGCTGCATGCCGCAGCGACGAAGGGACCCTGACGAAGTCTGTCAAACGTGCTCACGACAGACTCGGACCAGACGATGACGGCTACAGGGATGCACTCGTCCTGGACAGACAACTTGAGTATGATAGCCTGAGTGCATCGTCCAGCACATCGTCCAGCAACTCCAAGCGTCGGCGCATCTCACTTCTTCCAGACGACAAATATGCTTATACCATTAGCTGGAACAAACTGTCCTTCAGCAGCGATGAACCTAATACAATCGAAGCTCATAACCCGAAATTCAGAGGTGGCGTAGCACACGCCATAGAACAATGCGCTTATGATTGGGAGGGATTGAAAGAATTATCTGCAGAGGCTACAGAGAAATACGATAGTATGTTTTCCTACTTACGGCTTTTAATGTTAAGCTGGCTCATAGTAGTATGTAGGTTATCTCGTAGCCGGTGACAGTGCTGGAGCTCTCTGCAAACTGCAAGACGTTGTCCGAGGATGCAATCAGTTTCTGTCCTGCCATCGCGATCTCCCGCTGGCACGCCTTTATGACATCCCCGCGGCTACTCCTGCTTCTACCCAGAATTCAACCTCTCCAGCTACTTCACCCGATAACCTTGAAAGTTCTGATTGGGAACGAGAAGAGCAAAAGCCGCCAGATCAAGACTGGATAAGGTTCGTTCACACCGTTTTTCCATTTCACTCGTCTGACATTAGATTTTTTGTATTCTCTGATAGATATAGGGAACACCCCAGTGCCGTCCACGCCATCCTCGGAACAGCGTTATTTCTTTTGGGCAAATTGATAGCACAGGATCCCTCTTTGGCGCGCACCGGAGAACCAACAAACCCATCTCCTTACTGGCTCATCGCTTTAGATGTATTTGAAGCAGGCGATAATCTTCCTAGTCCCGCTTGGGGGCAACGCTATGTCAATATTGTTGACGATAACTGGCAGATGTATGTCGTTTGGGGGCGAGTGCTAGTCGCACTCGCGGATCTGGCAACGAAGAAGGCCAGCGAGGATGCAACAAATGGTTCCTCGTCGCAGGCTTCTATGTATAGGTATAGAAAAGAATGGCCTACGAGCTCGCCATTCGCTGCGATTATAGCCCATTGCTCTCCGCTGGCAAATACGATGTCACTTTCAGACCCTTCAGCTCACGAATTTTTGATGTTAGCCATGGATCAATTCTCGCGGGGAATTTTTCATATGCCTCGTCCACCCCTTCCTTCTGACGATTCACTTTGCGAATACAATGCTTTCCTACCAACCAAATTTTGTCATGAAAAAGAGCTTTTCACCATAGCCTCCGATGTACTGGATGTAGCTGAACATCTGGAGGTACCTTCAGAACGGCGTTATTGGGCGTCGTGGGTAGACTCTGTATTCAAACAGATCGAAGTAGGGAGTGCTGGCATATACAACGACCAGGCTATACACTCGAGACGCAAGTGCTGGTTGATCATAGATAGCACTGCAGCTGAGAGGCTCGAGATGGCTTGGAGCAGTGGCAGGGCAGAAGTCCTGACATCCGTTGAGGCGGAGGTGAGGGAAGATCATACCATGGGTGAGTACCCATTTATGATGCATGCATGAAAAGATGAGATCACTAAGAAGATAGCCACTCACAGCTGTATCTTCTCTTGAACGGGTGCAGTAACATGTTCTTTCACCGAGTGGTTTACTTAATAATCTCGGGTGCGTATATTTGCATGGTTTTCGATCCTTTAAATGTAATACTCAAATTTAACAGTAAGTCATCTCGTCGAGGCTCTCTTGACCCTGGTCGAATTCACGTTGTATGGAAATCAACACTCTACCCTCTCACGTGCATAGGATGCGCGCTATGACTGAGCTCTCACATGGACGGGGAACCACAACGTTCCGCCCAAGCTCACGACGACAACGAATCGATATGCCATAGATTTCTCCATCATAATACTTTAGTCTTACTGGATATATACACGTTTGTTAGGAAAATTCACTCTCACTAGTGTCGGATCACTCAGCATTTGTATTATATGCATTGCATGTTTCTACTCTAATTTGGCCTTTCGGATAGAATGTTGTATATAGGACGTCTGCCCTGGGGCTATTACTATAGCTTGAAATATAAGGGTATGGTACATGGTGTGTTCGTCATGCGCGAATGAGATAGTATATACATCATTACATTGTCATGATAGTACATGGACGGCAGACTCAAAGACGGCAAAAGTGGCCATGTTCACTGGTATCGCACTAGAGAAACGAAAATGAATGCGTTAGAACTTGGAGGCAAGGTGGACGAGATGTTCGTCTGACCGAATAAGTGTAGGCGCCAGGCCCCTAAAGAAGACGCTCATACCTTCTGCACGGTATGAGTTCATGAACGCAGACATTGTAGTTCGATATGGATTATGATGCGCTACATCAACACCTTGAGCGAGACTCGAGGAGGGTGTATAGTCGCTCGACTGAATCCGAGTTTTGACAACGTCGAAAGGGAATGTCGTGATCCAACCTGCGATACCCGCCACCCCGCCGGCAGCCAAAAATGCAGGCAGGGATAGGGATGACATCTCAGACTCGATTTCTGAGAATATGGACGAGTGGTCCGATGATGCAGTAGAGACGGGCGAAGCAAAGTAACGGCATGTCGCCTCGTACTGAAACAGGATGCGTCAGATTTTCCGTATCATAGCTTAATTGTCAGAAGGAGATGAGGGCTCACGGCAGTGAAGTAGGCACCATAACCACAGTCTCTGAGAGCAGTTGTAGTGATTCCTCGATATAAGCCCCTTATACCATTTTGCCTATATATGCGCAGTGCAATTGCCCTTGCGGAAGCGTTCGCAGGATCAACTGTCATTGTGTTCTGCTGCTTGATCTTGATCAGTTCAGTGGGAGTCGTGATTAACCTGGATCAAAATTGCTCATATGCACAAGAGAAAATAAGACGAGAGACATACGAAGATATTATTCCGCTTCCTGCCCCAGCAAGTGTGATCTGTGTGAGCGTTGGGACCGTAGTTTCGCTTTCCAACTGACCCCTCATGAACAACTTGTAAGAAGCAAAAACGAGGCCATTGAGAAATGCGCATGTAGCCTGCGAGATGGCACATGACCATGATAGATCAGCACCCACAGAGAAATGGCAATCAGAAAAGGGTCATTGACGTACGAGAGGGGAAACGACGCCTTTGTACAGCCCGAGGAAACGCTCTTCTCGGACAATCGTGTTGAAGGCGTTGAATGTGGAATGGTATTTAGATGAGATGGCAGGATTTTGGAAGCGTACTTTGACTGATGGAAACGAGTGTGAATAGGTCGTGTGCAATAGCCTTGATAGGAGACATACCAGTGTCAAAGGGATATCCTACGATAATTCCAGCTATGCCTGTTGATGACGCAAAGCGCGGTTATACAAAGATCTGTCATTGGAAATATTCCACAAGCACCCACCAGCAACTGTTCCTGCAACAAAGTCAATCGTCGGGTGGATTTCAGCTGAACAAGACAAATTAGCAACCCTACTTTGGAGTCTCTAATGGACGTGGATACAATTCAGACTTATCGTACCTTTGGATTTACCCGAAGTCTGATCACTGCTCATCTCTGGGACTTTCCGAATTATGGACCCAACCAGACACGACTACTCAGTACTCAGTACTCAGTGATTGTGTGTGACGTTGCAGTTCCAGGTTATTCGCCAGCCAAGACTTGGCAAGTACTAGGTAAAGATACGCTTGTCTATATCAAGATTTGATGTTTAGAAACAAGGAAGAGAACTAGAAATGACCTACGGTTGATTCAAGAATTTACGAATGACAGGGAGAAGATGATAACATGGAGATTTAGTACGTTCGAGGGTGTCGGTGGTTTGCTGAGACCGGATCAAAGAGGTTTTGGCCCGGAGCCAGACTGGCAATGATGCAAGGCACCCGCCGCGGCCTTATATCGCCTCCGAGTCTAGTCGTCGTTATCGTTCACGTCGACGTCGACAATATCCAGGATACTCGAAGGGCCACGATGTCGCAGGACTGGTAAGGGCCATTCCGTTGCCCTATGGTAGCAATTCGGCCGAAACTTGTATCGCGTTATAATGGTCTCGCCAATCAACTATGCTCAAGCCGTTTTTGTCGTGCACAACTCTGTGTGTCCCGTGAAAATCCAGGGCAGTGTTGGCATATCCAGAAAACATTGTCTAGCGGGTTCTTGTTATGACACTGGGTTTTCAAAGTTCGTGATGCCTTTGTAGGTTCCTGATGCAGTTCGCATGATAGCCAGAGCTCATTCAAAATTTTGCTTGATACATGCTTTTTCAGCCAGAATACCATGTCATCGTGGTAGGACAGTCCTTCGACCAAAGAGTTACTAAGAAGAGGCGCCAGAATCTGACCAGATGTGATCAGACTACCAGAGCGAATGACAGGTAATCCAAAACTAAATAGATTTTGGCACAAGGAAGAAAATAGAATGCTGACCAACGTAGTAACTAAACAAACAAAGAGACTTGGGAGGCAAAAGTGAGCAAGTAATCGGTGAGTTTGATATGATACTCTCATTGCACTTTAAGCTACTGAGTATACTATAGTCTTTGGTGTATCTTTCTTCTGAGCGCGCATGCAAATCAAGGGACTTTCAATTACACGTGATATTCCATGTAATTACCATGGCCCTCCGGGGTAGTCTGACATGGACTCAATAGGTGCATGGTTGAATCTGTATACAGTCAAACTCAAAGTTCTGTCGAAACAAAAGATTCTATTATCAAAATGGAAATCTGGATTATTGGGTCCAGTGATAGATAGGTGGATAGCATCACTGCACTTGGTTAGCAATTACCAGCAGATGTCTTTAGGACGCCATCTCGTTGTCCATGGCCGAACATGGTCCCCATTGTCCGCATTTACATTTAGGAATGGTCGATGATCGCTCTTCTTTTTTATCTCCTCTGCAATCCACTGTCAGCCGCCCCTACAAGAACTGTTACAATCATGTTAGATACCACCATTCAATCGTTCGAAGGCGCATGTCATACTGCGATCTGTTGATATTGTGGATTTCCACGTTTTCAAACCATTCCTTTCGCTCGCATCGCCCTCTTTGAAGCAATGTTCGAGCTTCCACAGCCCTCACCACAAGGCGGTGAAAAGGACATGAAGGTTGGATTACCTGTCATCTCTGTCACTGAAAATAGCAAAACTTTGGATACATTGCTCAGATTTTGCTGTCCCTCGACTCTGGCGGAGGACCCGAGTAAGCTGGAGAACAAAACCAGGACTGCCACAAAGTTTACGTTGCGTCAGCCGTTGCTCCCCCAAACGTGAAAGAGTTAGGACTGATCACGGAAATAGACCTTTGCCAACTTCTAGACCATCGTGCGCGATGTGCCGTAATGATAAAGAAGCTGACTTCATTACACTGGATGCTTCGGCGGTATCTATGCAACGTTCCAGTGGTTGACAGCTACCGACCACAGTCCTGGCAGGCACCGAACACAATACTACATGGAATACTACTACTAGACTTTGTGGAAACAAGCACAACACCAAGTGCGAGATCCTCGGTCTTCCTCAAACCATGTTAGTTCCGGATTGGTGGGCAGATTGTATGAAAGCCACGTGGGACGCTTTGAAGGACAAGTCCTCTGGTGTGGTGGTTTTCAATGGTATAGATAACGCAGTTAGAAGCGCAGGGTTAAAATGCATGTTTTGTGCCCAGATAACATGCCCGACTTTACAAAAATATTTCCCGAAGAAGTCGACAAGGTAGTGGCAAAGGTACATCATGTGTTCATAATACCACGAATTGCTGCAGTAAAAAACTGAATGAATCCTTTGTAGATACGACTAGACACCAAAGGCATGATTGTCGCCAGATGGTTTTGAGATACGTGGAGTTGTCAAGGCCGAAAGGAAACGGCTGTAGGGTATATACAAACAGATTGGGCGTGTAACGTCCCTGTTGACATTGAAGACATTGTTAAGAATTAGCAGTGGCTTGAGAATTAGGAGTGACTTGAAGAATCGTTCTTGACTAGCAAAAAGCCATTTACCTCCACTACTTACCAAACACGGGGCTCATAGGAACATGACATCTGAAACGTTTGAACCCCAATATCGCATTTATTACATTGCCTATACTGACCGTGTGGGCACCGTCTCTTGAATCTCGTTACCACTCGCTTGACACCCGAATGCTTCGAGGAGTTGATTAGTTGTCCATGAAACCCATTCCTTATCAACTACTGAATGTAGCAAAGGCCGCCTTCTCGGATCTCTGTCCAGAAGCATCTTGATGAGCTGCCCGAAGCCGGAATATGAGCCTTTCTCGACCATCCCAGTAATGAACTGAAGAACCCTACCACAGGACCACAGATCTGCTCGTATAGGACTGAACGCCTGTGGCAACTTGTCAGCGTCAAGAACAATTTCCGGAGCGCTCCATTCAAAAGTCCCGCAGGACCTTTCGACCATGTCATTTTCACTACCGCACTTCATGGCTATATCAAAGTCAATAATAAGAAGCCTATCCGTGTCAAAGGTACAGATAAGATTGTCAGGCTTGATATCCAAGTGCGCAATCCTTTGCTCGTGGAGGAAGGCAACACCTTCTACAAGCTCGCCGCTCAGCCGCTGAGATCTGTCCTTGTGAATATGCCTGAGGATAGAAAGTGTATGTTAAGTGGAGTTTTGTGTTTTGATAATTGATTGAGGAAGGAGAGCTCATTGCATGGTTTGCGGACAAGCTTCACAATAAGTCGTTTTCCGTTGGAGTCTCTTGCCTCTGCTATTATGATCCGATAACTGCTAGAATCTATTAGCACAAAGCAAACATAATTCTTCTTGCCTCATGTATGGGCCCAAAACCTTCGGGATCTACTTGTAAGTGGTAAAATGTTCCTTCGAGCGTGTCAGTCATCACGCCACGAATATCGGCCCTGACTGACTCCATGCCGCTATATTGCTTTGAACCCGGACCCCCTCGTTGACTATGTCGTTTGTACGGTTAGTGATACCGAGTGTTCTGTCCTCTTCGTTTGTGTCGTGCTCCAAATGAACATGTTCCACCTATCAATCAGAATCAGTCGACGGAAGCGCGGACGTCCGATAATCAGTTCCAAAATTCGAACACCGGCCTACCGTTAGAGGACCAATCCATTTCACGAACATAATCTACGCGCATTGACATGGTTGATATCGCTACCCCAGATTTTTTATCACATCTAAAATCACTATATCCAGAGGGGCCGTCCTACATACGCAATCCGTGGTATGCAGTTTCTGCAATCGCGTTCAGTGCAAGCAATCAACCAGAAGCCGTGCCTCTGGTTCTCCGATATGCTCTCAACGACCTGGATTCTCTCCTTTCCCCTCAAGAGGATCGCCTTTATCTTGCTCGGAAGATACGAGATATGGTCTTCAAATCTGGAATGATTTCTGGGTTCCCCAAAGTCTGCCTCACCAAACTTTATCCCTCGAAATGATCCCTTTAACGAGATACTGATAGGTTATAAATGCGCTTGGTGCTCTTCATTCAGCAACTCCAGAAGATTTGCGAGACGCGCAACCTCTGCGGTAGGGTTTTCAGAGTGGAATTCATGTCCCACAAGAGTGCAATTGATTCCCCTTTGCAATAGCGACACATCTCTCTCCACTGAAGACATTACACGTGCTGGGCAAGAGTTCTTCGACCAGACATATGGAGAGACAGCTTCGACAGTCCAGCCATTCTTGCGTGCTATCTACCCCGACCTAGGTATGACCTTCTTCATCGTTCCGGGTCGTCACTGGGAGTCAAACACATCTAATTCATCCTACCAGAGTTCTATGTCACTTCTTTCGCTTATGGTTTTGGATACGCCTTCATGGATGTAACATCACCCATGGAGACTTCATTCGCAATGATCGCAGCACTCATCGCCACGGACACCCCTCGCCAGATCGAATGGCACTTGGGCGGCGCTCTGCGGAACGGGGCATCGGTTGCTGAGGTAAAGGCCGTCCGACAGATTTCCATCGAAATTGCTCAAGCATCGGGAATTGTGTGGAAAGGGGACATTCCGGACCTTTGAGGTGTTTGAGCATATTTTTATTCACAAAATGTACAATATTGCATGCGGGTGAATATTGATATTCACACAAGACAGTATGGTCGTACCCTGCAGGATAGCCTAGAGGAACCTGAAAGATATGCATGTGTTTTATTCATGTGCTACTAGTCACGTGGTAGATACTGCGGGTGTTCTGCCCAAAGCCCTGCTCGTCGGATGGCTGTCCTAGGCAACTGAGCATATATAAGCCATCACCACCAAGACCACCAGCGCGGCGTTCTATATAGATCGTATCACCCATGTCTCTTCAAGTTAACTTGTCGAGCAAAGAGCTCGGCGAAGCATATCAAAATGTCGTCGCTGGACGTGGCATAGATTGGGCTATATTCACATACGAGAAAGGAAGTAATGACCTCAAAGTCCAGGCAACTGGTAGCGGCGGACTTGACGAACTCGAGGAGGAGTTCTCAGATGGAAGGTGATTCTTCTCCGGTTGTAATATCTGTAGAGATCGACTAACCTGACCAAAACATCGTATCAGAATACAGTATGCGTTTGCGAGAGTGACCGATCCTAACGTTTGTCAACCATCGCTACCTTCTTCCTCTGTCAGGCTAACATACACATCGTTTCAGAGTCAACTCCCAAAATTCGTCCAGATTAACTGGTGTGGCGATGGCGTTCCCGAAGCCAAGAAAGGGCTTTTCCATACCCACTCAAGCGCTGTTGCCAGATTCTTACGTGGCACCCACGTCGTCATCAGTGCCCGCAACGAGGTTCGTCTTTATTTCTACTTATTTCTATTTTATTTATTTATGAAAGCCTCTAATCTCGATCTCATGTGCATTCCATGATCTCCACAGTCGGACGTTACTCCAGCTCTCATCATGTCCCGGGTTGAAGGGGCTTCCGGCGCAAGGTACTCCGCTCATAAGGAACAAGCCCGCAAATTCGAGCCGATCGCCCCAGTTGGGACGAGCTACACCCCAATTGGAAGACCTGATATTGCAGCGATGAGGAAGGTTCCTCCTCCACCCAGGAGTGTAGAAGCTCCCGCTCCAGCGCCGAGTGTCTCGAGACCTGTCATGCCATCTGTTCCTCGACCAAACTTCGGGGCTCCAGCTGCAGCCAAACCCACTGGTTTCGGGAGGGCCCCAGCTGATGCTTGGCCAGAGGACGCACCTGCAACATTTGCACCTCCGCCACCACCCGCTGCATCTCGCCCGCCTACAATCCCAGCGGCTCCTCGGCCAGTTGTATCTGTGCGTATGGTTACTTATCGTCAAGCCGGGTTGCTGATTATTCTCAAAGGCTTATCAACCTGCTGCTCGTGTCGCAGCCACACCTCCTCCCTCAGCGGCTTCATCCAACGTACCTACTAAACCTGTTGAGGAAGATCGTATCGGACGCGTGGTAAGTATTAGTTTTGCTAAAATATGTAC